TATAATAATATTATTATGTGTGTCAGGAGCAACTTGTTGTTTCCATATCACGAGAAACTGCAAGTCGCTTCTGGTGTGAGAGAACTGGCCATCTGCAAGGACGTTACCCAGGGGACACCTGGATGTTTTGATATTTTCATGGGGCCTATGTTTGTGTGTGCATATATGATGACACACATTAGCTAGATAGCTAGATAGATCCATATAATTTTTTTTTTGTATTTCATATTATTTTGTATAATATTTTGAAAAATATTATATGAATCTATCAGGAGCGACTTATTGTTTTCGTATCACGAGCTACTTGAAAAACTGCTAGTCACTTCTGGTGTGAGAGAACTGGCCGTCTGCAAGGACGTTACCCAGGGGATGCCCGGATGTTTTGATGTTTTCGTGGGGCCTATGTCTGTGTGCAAACATGAAGGCACACTTTTGCTAGATAGCTAGATAGATCCATATAATTTTTTTTCGTGTCAGGAGTGACTTATTGTTTTTGTATCATGAGCTACTTGAAAAACTGCAAGTCACTTCTGGTGTGAGAGGACTGGCCATCTGCAAGGATGTTGACCAGGGGATGCCTGGATGTTTTGATGTTTTACCATCCTTGTGGGAGGCTTCTCTCATGTCCCTGCATGGGGAGCTGAAGCTGACAGAGGGAGCTCATCTGCACTCTCCTCAGATTTGAACCTCCGACCGGTCGGTCTTCAGTCCTGCCGGCACAAGGGTTTAACCCATTGCACCACTGGGGGCAATTATTATTATTTGAAACACAACAAGATGAGTATACACAGCAAACAAGATCATTATGCTGGTTGTTGTATTGGATCAAGATCGAACTGCAAAGACTTTGGCACAAGCAAGTCAAGGTGGTCCCAGTTGTGATCAGCACACTGGGTGCAGTGCCTAAAGATCTTGGCCTGCACTTAAACACAATTGGTTCTGACAACATTACCATCTGTCAGGTACTGCTCTGGCAGGAAGGTAACAGCGTTCCAGGCAGTCATGCTGGCCTTATCACTTTGGAGGTGTCTATGGATAATGCCGGGTGCTGGTTGTGGCCTATAAAGCCCTAAACGGTTCCGGCCCAAGATACCTAACTGACCGCCTCTCGGCCTATGAGCCCACGAGGACTTTGAGATCTTCCGGGGAGGCCCTGCTCTCGATCCCGCCTGCGTCACAGGCACGGCTGGTGGGGACGAGAGATAGGGCCTTCTCGGTGGTGGCTCCTCGGCTGTGGAACACCCTTCCCGTGGACATCAGGCTAGCCCCCTCCCTGTTGATATTCCGCAGGAAGTTAAAGACCTGGCTATTTAAGAAGGCATTTGACCAAGAAGTGCAATGACTGGTAATTTGACCATAGGAATGGAACAACGGAAATGATATCGGATTGTGGGTTGACGATGAGACGATTCGGAATGTAGTAGAAATTTTGTAGTAATGCTGATGTTTTTGATAAGATGTTTTTTGATAATGATATGTTTTGTAATTTGCACTTGTGTCTTTTTATGTTGTACACCGCGATGAGTCGCCCTCGGGCTGAGAATCGCGGTATACAAACGCAGTAAATAAATAAATAAATAAATAAATAAAATCGGACATGACTAGATTTAATGTCAAGGGGAAGCCTTTACCTCCTCCTCCTCCTCCTCCTCCTCCTCCTCATCATCATTTTTACAACCTGCCTCCACCCACCCTGGACACTCCACAGATATATAGACCTCACTTGCCTAGTTTCCAACAGACCTCACAAGCTCTATGGAGAGAATGCCTGCCATAGACGTGGGCAAAATGTCAGGAGAGAATGCTTCTTGAACATAGACATACAGCCTGGAGAACTCACAGAAACCCAGTGATTCCGGCCATGAAAGCCTTCGACAACACATTGTCCATAAAATATTAGACCATGCCAATTGAGTTCACAAGCATGCAACAAAAAGAAAAATATCAAAATTGAGATGGTTCTGCATTTTTAACACTTAATGTCCTTGCGGTTTCAAGGTCTGGCTGCTTACTGCCTGGGGGAATACGGGTGAAATGTCAGGAGAGAATGCTTCTCGAACACGACCAGACTGCCTGGAAAACCCACAGCAACCCAGTGATTCCGACCATGAAAGCCTTTGACAATACAAATAAAGTTGTTATTGTTGTTAGAGCATTATTATTACACCTTTGTGAAGGCAGTATTATTTCTTTAATTTGTGCCAGTTGATTGAGAGTTCCCGTTAACCAAGAGTCAACTGTATCTTGATACCCAAAAGGTAATTTCCATGGATTATAATTCTCATAAGTTTGAGACAAAGCGTCCATGCCTTGATGTGTCCAAAAGCGACATTGACCCTTTGGGTTTCGGAGTATTTGTTTCTAGGGTACTCAAGATATAAGAAATGTTGGATCCTACCTTGAGCCAAGATGAAAAGTGGGTAACAAAAAAAAGTTGTTGTTGTTGATACACAACAAGATAAATAAATATTATTTATTATTATATTAATATTATATTATATTATATTATATTATATTATAAATATTTATTATAATATTATGTATTATATGTTATATATTATATATTATTATAACACACACATACATATATACGACATTTATATGCCGCCCTTCTCACCCCAAAGGGGACTCAGAGTGGCTTACTATATATACATACAATATATTATATTATTAGCATAGCACAATATCAGTATTATATATTACTATATTGTACTATACCATTATATTGTAATATTATTAGTAATATTACATGTAATATAAAATATATAATTATAATATTGTATTATTATTATATTGTATTATATTGTATTTGGTGTTGTGTATAAGAAACACAATTTTACTAAGTTATTGTGTGTGTGTGTGTGTGTGTGTATGTGTATGTGTATATATATATATATATATATATATATATATATATATATAATTAAATATGACTTAATGTAACACAGTATTATAAAAACAGCTTTGTGAAGCCAGTATTATTTCTTCAATTTGTGCCAGTTGATTGAGAGTCCCGATTAGCTAAGAGTCTACTATTGATCAACACCCAAAAGATAATTTCCACACACCATTTGAGACAAACTGACCGTGCCTCGAAGTGTCAGAAAGCGACACTGACCCTTTGGATTTCGGAGTATTTGTTTTTAGGGTACTCAAGATATAAGGGATGTTGGAGCCAAGATGAGCCAAGATGAAAGGTGGGTAACAAAAAAAGTTGTTGTTGTTAATACACAACAAGATAAATAAATATTATTATATTATATTATATTATATTATAAATATTTATTATAATTTATTTACGACATTTATATGCCGCCCTTCTCACTCCGAAGGGGACTCAGAGTGACTTACAAGGTATATATATATATAATATTATTACTATATTATATTACACCATTATATTGTAATATTATTAGTAATATTACATGTAATATAAATATATAATTATAATATCACATTATTATTAGTAGTATTAGTATTATATTGATATTATAATATTATAAATATTATATGTATATATATTATATTATATTATATTATATTATATATTATAACATAGAATCAAAGAGTTGGAAGAGACCTCATGGGCCATCCAGTCCAACCCCCTGCCAAGAAGCAGGAAATTGCATTCAAATCACCCCTGACAGATGGCCATCCAGCCTCTGTTTAAAAGCTTCCAAAGAAGGAGCCTCCACCACACTCCGGGCAGAGAGTTCCACTGCTGAACGGCTCTCACAGTCAGGAAGTTCTTCCTCATGTTCAGATGGAATCTCCTCTCTTGTAGTTTGAAGCCATTGCTCCATTGCGTCCTAGTCTCCAGGGAAGCAGAAAACAAGCTTGCTCCCTCCTCCCTGTGACTTCCTCTCACATATTTATACATGCCTATCATATATATTATTATTATTATTATTATTATTATTATTATTGGAGCCCCGGTGGCGCAGTGGGTTAAACCCCTGTGCCGGCAGGACTGAAGACCGACAGGTCGCAGGTTCGAATCCGGGGAGAGGCGGATGAGCTCCCTCTATCAGCTCCAGCTCCTCATGCGGGGACATGAGAGAAGCCTCCCACAAGGATGATAAAAACATCAAATCATCCAGGTGTCCCCTGGGCAACATCCTTGCAGACGGCCAATTCTCTCACACCAGGAGTGATTTGCAGTCACTCCTGACATGACCAAAAAAAAAAAAATATTATTAAGTATAATCAGACTTAATGTAACACAGTATTATAAAAACAACTTTGTGAAGCTGCTATTATTTCTTCAATTTGTTCCAATTGATTGAGAGTCCCGATTAGCTAAGAGTCTACTATTGAAGGGTCTGGAGAACAATGAGGAGCGGCTTAAGGAGCTGGGCATGTTTAGCCTGAAGAAGAGAAGGCTGAGAGGGGATATGATAGCCATGTATAAATATGTGAGAGGAAGCCACAGGGAGGAGGAGCAAGCTTGTTTTCTGCTTCCCTGGAGACTAGGACACGGAACAATGGCTTCAAACTACAAGAGAGGAGATTCCATCTGAACATGAGGAAGAACTTCCTGACTGTGAGAGCCGTTCAGCAGTGGAACTCTCTGCCCGGAGTGTGGTGGAGGCTCCTTCTTTGGAAGCTTTTAAACAGAGGCTGGATGGCCATCTGTCAGGGGTGATTTGAATGCAATATTCCTGCTTCTTGGCAGGGGGTTGGACTGGATGGCCCATGAGGTCTTTGATTCTCACTTTTTTCTATTTCCAACAGACCTCACTACCTCTGAGGATGCTTGCCATAGATGCAGGCGAAACGTCAGGAGAAATGCCTCTAGAACATGGCCCTATAGCCCGAAAAAACTTACAAGAACCTAGTGATTCCAGCCATGAAAGCCTTCGACAACCCAAAAGGTAATTTCCAGGCACCATAGTTCTCACAACTTTGAGACAAAGTGTCCGTGCCTCGAAGTGTCCGAAAACGACACCGACCCTTAGGTTTCAGAGTATTTGTTTCTAGGTTACTCAAGAGAGACTTACTTTTCCTCCACCAGCTGCTTCTGGTACTCCTCATACTCTTCCCTGGTCATCCCTTGGGCTTCGGCCGGCGACTTCTCGGCTTCTCCCTTCTCTTCTCCTCCGCCCAATCCTCCGGTGAGGTTCTTCAGCTGCCCGCCCACCATCGATTTCACCATGAAAGCCATGGCTCTGGGAAGAAGGGGAGATGCAGAAGGAGTCCCCAGAGAAAGGTGACCCAAAACTTGCCCGGCTTGGGGGGCAGCTCAGTTCACACCATGGGCATCCTGTTGGAGAGGCTCTTGGCTTCCCATCGGTTGCGCTTTGGAGGGAGAAGGATGGAGAGAAGGATGGAGAAAAGGATGGAGGGGAGAGCCTCCTGAGCGCCTTCAGCACCAGCGAGCCCTGGACAGCTCCCTCCCTGCGCCTTCCCCTGGAGAGTCTACTTTCAGCACCACGGAGAGCGCCTGCCTGCCTGCCTCTGATGATGATGAGGAGCCCCCAGCCAGCCTGCCAGCCGACCCAAAGGAAGACTTCCCTCTCCCCCTGCCCAGCTATGGCCAACCTCCTCGCCTCCACACGCGTGACAAGAGCCACTCTGCCCACCTCTCCGCCTCCCTGGCTCCACCCTCCTCGTTGCCTTGAAAGGCTTGACTGGTGTGACAACAAGCCAATCTCTCTCTCTTCCTTCCCAGTCTCTTTGCCTGTTGGGTGCCTCCTCCCTCCATCTCTCTCTCTCTTTTTCTGCTGCCTTGCATTCCTCCTCAACAGTTGTCGGCTGCTTTCCAACCTTTCCAGGCTTCTAAAGCTGACTTTCTCCTTGGCAAGATTTGTTTTGCCATATATGTGGTGGAGGTGTGAAGTGGCCAAAACATACTGGAAAATATATACATGGGAAAAAAAATAGAGGAAAATATTGGAACTGAAAATGGAATTAAAACCAGAATCCTTCCTATTAGGAAATAATAGACACAGAAAAAAGATATAAATAAAGACAAACTCTTTCATTATTTAATTTCAGCGGCTAGAATAAATTATGCGAGATGTCGGAGAGCAAATTTATTTATGTATTTATTTCTGGTATATTTATATCCCATCTCTTCTCTCTCCCCGAAGGGGGACTCTGGACGGCTTACAATGGCAGCCATTCGATGCCGTTACAGTTCATACAAATAACCATTAAAACAAACCATTAAAACACTAAAATGTTGTTGTTGTTCATTCGTTCAGTCGTTTCTGACTCTCATGGACCAGCCCACGCCAGAGCTCCCTGTCGGCCGTCACCACCCCAGCTCCTTCAAGGTCAAGCCAATCACTTCATTTTATACATCCATCCATCTTGCCCTTGGTCGCCCCTCTTCCTTTTGCCTTCCACTTTCCCCAGCATAATTGTCTTCTCTAGGCTTTGCTGTCTCCTCATGATGTGGCCAAAGTACTTCAACTTTGTCTCTAGTATCCTTCCCTCCAGTGAGCAGCCGAGCTTTATTTCCTGGAGGATGGACTGGTTGGATCTTCTCACAGTCCAAGGCACTCTCAGAACTTTCCTCCAACACCACAGCTCAAAAGCATCGATCTTCCTTCGCTCAGCCTTCCCTAAGGTCCAGCTCTCACATCCGTAGGTTACTACAGGGAATACCATGGCTTTGACTAGGCGGATCTTTGTTGCCATTCTGATGTCTCTACTCTTCACTATTTTATCGAGACTGGACATTGCTCTCCTCCCAAGAAGTAAGCGTCTTCTGATTTCCTGGCCACAGTCTGCATCTGCAGTAATCTTTGCGCCTAGAAATACAAAGTCTGTCACGACCTTCACGTTTTCTCGTGGAAACACTAAAATACATAAATACAAAAGCCATTAATTAAACAATATAAAAACATTTGTTACCAAATAGAATCGTATCTTCATGTAATTCACCTTTCCAATCCATTTCCACTAAAGTGCTGATTTATGTCTGCTGACTGAAAGCCTGGTCCCACAGCCACGATTTTACTTTCTTCCTGAAAGCCAGGAGGGATGGGGTAGATCGTATCTCGCTTGGAAGCATGTTCCACAGGTGGGGGGCCAACACAGAGAAGGTCCAGTCTCTCATCCCCACCAGCCGCATTTGCAATGTTGGTGGGAGCGAGAGCAGGGCCTCCCTGGATGATTTTAAGTTATTAGGTGGGACGTAGAGGCAGATGCATTTGGACAAGTAAGCTGGGCCACAACTGTATAGAGCTTTATAGGTAAAAACTAGCACTTTGAATTGAGCTCGGAAATGGACAGGCAGCCAGTGGAGCTGACACAACAAGGGGGTGGTATGTTCTCTGTATCTCATTCCTGTTAGTAATCTAGCTGCCGCCTGTTGGACTAACTACAGTTTCCGAACTGTCTTCAAAGGCAGCCCCATGTAGAGTGCATTGCAGGAGATCCCCACCCAAGAACAATGGTTGATGAAGATTTTAGATATTATGAATATGGACAGATTAACACAATTGATGAAGGTGAATCCAAAACCAAAGACACAAAAAACAGACTGGACATTAGTAAAGGGCCAGAGTGAAGAGAGGGGAGGCCAGGGGACAGTTCCACCTTGTCTCCTGTGCTATGCTAATAATGTAATGTAATATATTGTATACACATATAATATTTATAATATTATAATGTAATGCAATATAATACTACCAATAATATGATATTATAATTATATATTTATATTACATGTAATATCTATATCAATAAAAATGTAATGTTCATTTGTGGGATTAACATAACTCAAAAACCTCTGGACAAATTGACACCATATTTGGACACAATACATGTATCAGGCTAACAAGTGACCATAAAAACACTGAAAAACACAGTGGAAGAGACTTAAAAAGCCAAAAAAATACATTACAACGCATGTGCAAAACCACATATATACACATATATACAAATATATACACACACATACACACAGACTGGACCACAGCAACGAGTGGCAGGGGATGGCTAGTTACTAATATTACAATATAGTAACATTTAGTACTGATATTGTACTATGCTAATAATATAATACATTGTATGTGTATATATATATATTGTAAGCCACTCTGAATCCCCTTCAGGGTGAGAAGGTCAGGATATAGATATCATAAATAAATAAACAAATAAATAAAGAACTTTTTCACTCAAGAAAATTTGACATGGATGATCGATTTAAGCTCTTAAGATTAAGAATGTAAGAGAGAAAGCCAACAATGAATAGAAGACGCAGAAGACTTTTGATGTCGATGTGAAGATGATTGGAAGCCAGAACCTCACTCCCTTTGCCTAAGCCCACTTTCCCTATTCAAACCCATCTGGTCCCTACACCCCAAACCCCTTCCCATGGTCCTGGATCTTACCTTCCACCCTTTTCCTTTTCCTTTTTATTTTATCTTTGTATTAAAAATCCTATATACCGTGTGTGTGTGTGTGTGTGTGTGTGTGTGTGTGTGTGTATATATGATTTGTTTTGCCATTACCTTCCTCTGAGGTTGAGAGAGTGTGACTCATGTTGCAGTGAGCTTGCTGTGTGCATTTCATCCATGCGGCAGCATTCTTTGGCAGAGAAGGCTAAAGGTCTTGTTAAACTACTACAACTCCCATGGTTCCATAGCATTGAGCCAAGCCAATTCAAATGAGATCAAACTGTATACATTCAAGATGTGCCCCAAATCTCACAGGAGGACTAACTCTGGGTAGGATTGTTATTGTGTATTGTGTATTATTACATTGGGTTGCTGTGAGTTTTCTGGGCTGTATGGCCATGTTCCAAAAGCATTCTCTCCTGATGTTTCACCTACATCTATGGCAGGCAACAACTTCACAATCTCTGAGGATGCCTGTCATAGATGTGGGTGAACCATCAGGAGATAATGTTTCAGAAGGATTGAAAGCCATGTTGATAAAGGAAGAGGAGGAGGAGGAGGAGGAAGAGGAGGAGATGGGGAGGAGGTGGAGGTGGAGATGGAGAAGGAGGAGGAGGAGGAAGAGGAGGAGGAGATGGAGATAGATAAGGAGGAGCAGGAGGAGATGGGGACGAGTGGAGGTGGAGATGGAGAAGGAGGAGGAGGAGGAGGAGGAGGAGGAGGAGGAGGAGGAGGAGGAGGAGATGGAGATAGATAAGGAGGAGCAGGAGGAGATGGGGAGGAGATGGAGGTGGAGATGGAGAAGGAGGAGGAAGAGGAGGAGATGGAGATAGATAAGGAGGAGCAGGAGGAGATGGGGAGGAGGTGGAGGTGGAGATGGAGAAGGAGGAGGAGGAGGAGGAGGAGGAGGAGGAGATGGAGGTGGAGATGGAGAAGGAGGAGGAAGAGGAGGAGATGGAGATAGATAAGGAGGAGCAGGAGGAGATGGGGAGGAGGTGGAGGTGGAGATGGAGAAGGAGGAGGAGGAGATGGAGATAGATAATGAGGAGCATGAGGAGATGGGGAGGAGGTGGAGATGGAGAAGGAGGAGGAGGAGGAAGAGGAGGAGATGGAGATAGATAAGGAGGAGCAGGAGGAGTTGGGAGGAGGTGGAGGTGGAGATGGAGGAGGAGGAGGAGGAGGTGGAGGGGAGGAGGAGGAGGAGGAGATAGATAAGGAGGAGCAGGAGGAGATGGGGAGGGGAGATGGAGATGGAGAAAAGAAAAGTGCAAGAGAAAGAGATGTGTGGAGGTGAAGGTGCGTAGTGGTGGTGGAGGTGGTTGTGGTGGTGGAGGAGGAGGAGGAGGAGGAAGAGGAAGAGGAGGAGGAAGAGGAGGAGGAGATGGGGAGGAGGTGTAGGTGTAGGTGGAGAAAGAGAAGGAGAAGAGAAAGATGCAGGAGGAGGTGGAGGAGGAGGAAGTGGAGGAAAAAATTATGGGCTTTCTAAGAAAGTCCATGATAACTCACAAATACCATCTTAAAGGTGTCATGGAACTCTACACTATACAACACAATTTTTGGGGGGTTATAGATGTTATTTTCTAATTGGTTCAATCATAAAAACATGGAAAAGTTCATTAAACTCCCAAAACTTTGTTTTTGTGGAAGGGACGTTCTGCAGCAGATTTTGCTCTAGTTTTTCAATGGCTATCTCATTGAGTCACAACCAATTCAACCTAGTTTGTGGTAGCCACAAAAGCAAAGTTTCTGGAAGAGAACAACAACTTGCGAAGTAAGTGCCACACAATTAAACAGGAAATGACACTTTCAATCTAGAAGCAGAACATTTTTGAAATGTTGTTACATAGTGTTATTGTTGTTATTTGTAAAATGCTTAATTATAAACCACATACTTGTGGAACAATCAGGCGACCCTCTTTCATCATAAGAATGAGTGCTGCTTGGGCAAGTGAGGTGTTGTTTTGGCTCATTTCTGGATTTTCCGCTGGAAAGTCATCGAGAGGCGTCCGCAGATGGAAATTGCAAGTGATGGGCACAATGCAAACTAAGGCTCCCAAGTCTCTTTTTGCTATTTTTGTCTCTGGGTGGAAGCAAAATCTACAAGCAAGGTCGGGGGGAGGGGGGGGGGGGAGATGAAGCAAAGTCCAGACGACTCTTTAAGATGAGATGGGTCTCAAGGAGACAGGCAGATCTTCTTCCCCCAGCGGAGGCAGGGCAGGCTTCAGCTCGAATCAGGGGCTCCTC